CGAGTATATTGGATGAGATAGTTATAGCATTTGGGTCAGATAAGGTATCATATTGTTTAGATCACAATTTTCGTATTTTATAGTTAAATTAGTTATATATATTGTTTATATCGTCACTGAAAGTATATCAAACTGCCATTGTTTTGTTAGAAATTAGATTATATCATATCGAATTCATATATCAACTATTCAAAGTTTTTGTTCGATAATTTTATCTCAATTATAATAACATGTTTTATATTACCTTATGCATCGCATTAACATCCTCTTGTCTTTCATAAATGTGCTTGATTATCTCATCGTTGTGTTTTAGTCATTAAAAAATTGTACTTAGAATTGATGACCGTGCTTCGCACGGGTGAGTTACTAGTATATATAAAGGTATAATAATTTTTAAATATATAAAAAAATCGGAAAAAATTGGAATTATTCGGAAATTTTCGGAATTATTCGGAATTATTTTTGGATCGGAATTCGGAAATTCCGAAAATTTAATATCAAATTCCGATTCCGATCCGATTTTTTTCGGAAAATTCGGAAATCGGAATTTTGGAAATCGGATTACAAAAAATAGTTCCATAATCGGAAATATTCGGATCGGAATCGGCGGAAATCGGAAATTTCGTTCCGATTTCCACCCCTATTACGTACATGTATGCATACATATATGCATATGCTATATAAGCTATGTTACTCTAGACTATAGGTATATGTATTTATATATGTGTGTGTTCGGTTTATGTGAGTAAGAGAGAGATTAGTGATTTTTTTATTAGAAAATAAAATTAGAAAAGATGCATGCTTGTACACTTGGCAAAGAGTGAGGATTTACACTAATCCTACACTCAAGCATGCTAAGTAATCTCAAGAGACACTCTCATGTCTTCTTCTCTCTCCACCTATATCCCCACTTGTCTCTCCTTCACCATCACCACCGAAGCACCACCTCCTCCATCGGCCACCACCTCAAATTTCTTCAAGAAAAAAATATAGAAATCAAAATGCAAATCCCCTATATAAGCTTCACCATTGAATATGCCAAGAATACCATCAAAAACACTTGCCCTCTTACGGAAGATCTAAACTCCTCTCAACTTGATATCAAAGCTCTTACCTTCTCCATTCAACTAACTTGGTTCAATCTTGGAGCCACTTCTTGAAGGAGGTAACACTGTATCTTCTTTTTCTTCATTTCTCTTCATCCTCCTTTTCTTCCTCTAAAAAAAAACCCTCTTTTCTTTTGAAGGTTTTTCTTTCTTCGGCCAACACTCTTTGATAGGTAAGAAATCTCGAATTTCATGCTGCAATTAAAGAGTATCATAGTATGGAAAAGAATTTTCAAAACTACTTAAAAGATTTCCTCACTTTTTTCGAAAAATTAGGGCTTTTTGTGTAAAATTCGAAATCTTGTGCTAATCTTGGTATTTGTGTTCTTGCATGTCTAATCCATGTTATAATCTGTGAATCTAAGCATTTTGTGTTTAAAGATTCAATATTTCTAATTTTTGGGAATTTTGGAAAAAGAAAATGAATTTTCAAGATTTTTTTGGGTTGCATGTGTAGATCTATGAATCTTTAGGACTAATCTGCAATTTCTTGAAGTTTCAGCATGAAAAATGTTTTCATCTTTAAAATCTCAGTAGAAGTAAGTGATTTTTTGTTATTTTCTATTTGGCCATAGATTGGGATTAATAATTGTTGGAAAAATCACTTTTTGGCTTCAACACTACTTGCCGAGCATTTTAATTTTTATAAATCCAATTTTTGAGGAAACTGCAAAATTCTTTTGCATCTGTTCATTTAGTAAGTTAGGTAACCTATAATTAAATTTAAGAATTATTAGATATCATTTTCTATTATTTCAAAATATTGGTTGTGCATGTGTCATAAATGGAACTTTTGTGTTTTAATCATTATGCCTTGTGTATTAATTGTGAGAATGTGAATTGATGGTTAAAAATCTGCAGCTGAACTATGTTAAGGGGCTGTAAGAATTTTTAATACACTTAATGAATAAAAGTGGGAGAAATTCCATTAATGAAAAGATAAAAATGTTGGTGCTTTAAGGGCATGGTTTGATAATTGAATGCTAATTAAAGTGTGTTTTGGGGCTGCATGTTATGGGTATATGTGTGTGCCGTGTGTGTGTGTGTGCTGTTGTGTGTGTGTAATTTATGATACATAAATATATAATATGATGCTATAATAATTTTGTGAATTATGTGATATATATATATATATATATATATATATATATATATATATATATGTGTGTGTGCGTGTGTGTGTGTGTGTGTGTGTGTGTGTGTTTGCCGTGTGTATATGTATATTATGTGGATAACTGGATTTTGTTTGTATGCTCGTTGATTGATATTTGTGATGTCGTTAAGTGGTCATTTTTGTATTAGAGTCTCATTCGTCTCATGGTCTTGCATTAAAAGAGATTTCATTTTTTTACGAAAGGAAAGGTTAATGGAATGCTTGGGTTGGATAAGTCAGGATACGGGGGGCCGGTATTCCAACCATAGTGACTGTAGATAAAGGGGTGGTTTGATTCCACCAAAAGAACGGGCTCAGAATAATATGCTTATCATCCAACTAAAGAAGCTAATTTTTCACAGATCCGAACAACAGAAAATGTTTTCATTCATGCATTTGCACAAAAAGGGTAATTTGGTAATTTTCCATATTTGAGTCGATTTACATGCTTAAATGAAGTTAAGTGTTTGTGTGTGTGTGTGATCGTTTGCCGACGAATGGTAAAGTGTGATGCTTAAGTGTATATATTAATATAAGTACGTAAAACCATATTTTAAAACCTCGTTATCCATTCGGATTTCTTACTGGGCTTAATAACTCATATAGATACTTCTTTGATTGCAGGTAGTAGTAGTAATCCCTCGCCGGAATGGACCGAGTAGTGGATCAGAGTCTTGACCGGAGCTTTTGGATGGTCGTACGAGGGGTCTATAAATTATGCTTGTTTTATTTTGGTGATGTAAACTAAAAACAATTTCCGTATTTCCGTTTCCCTTAATCTCTAATATTTCCTCGTTAGGGGAATTAAACTCTTATCCTAGTACGGGCCTTATTTTGATAGTAATATAGTTGGTCCGCTTATTTTGATAATTGCATTTCTTACCCGAAAATCCCTATTCACCAAACACCTTTAAACTCTGATTTCTTCTCGAACCCAAATTAGAACCTATAGTTAGATAAACGTAGCACTCGAATAATAATCTCCCTTTCCAAAGTTACTTCGAAACGAAAAATTTAAACGACCAAAATCACCCTAAGAAGTTTTCGAAATTCTCAAGGTTTCCAAAAGTTTTCAAATAACCCAAAAAGAGATTTTTAGAAATTACATTTTGGTCATACTCAAAAGTTTTAAAAAAATTACAAAGAGATCCCTTTTGCTTCCGCAATCTAAATAAAGTTTTCCGATAAACCGGTTCGATTTATCGCCCGACCCGAGGGGGGTGCTGCACTAAATCATCTGATTTTTGCGGCACTAGAAAGCTAATTTCAAGGGCTACAATTCTTATTTACGCCACATTCCTAAATTCGGAGTCCAACATGTAGGAAATCGAAGAACAAGTCCTGATAGGGGAAAATGGCGGAAATTGATTCCTATTAGGTTTCCACTACTTCCTTATCAAGAAAAGCCTATAAAAACAACAAGTCTCTACACCATAAGCACGAAAAATATACACCACAAAACGCGAGGAACGAAGATCAACGAAGACTCAAGCATAGTGTTTCTTATTTAATTTATTTATTTTATTTTCTTTATCATAAGAATCACGAGTAGCTACGTTTATATTTCTAGGATTTTATTTAGAACCCTGTGTGGGATTTATGAACCCAAATTCTATGATTTTATGCAAATTTTAATTCCGGATTATTTCTCCTACTTGTTTTATTAAGTGCATGAATTTGATCACCTTATGTGCTTTTATGTTATTGTTAATCGCATGAATCGGAAGATCGGGTTAGTAATTAGAACTGTGGTAGAAGAGCCTTTGTGGTATTAACATAGGAATATAGTTAATCTCTTAGGTAGCCATTATTGAGATTTGTGCTTAATGTTGTATTCTTGAATTAATTGCATAGAAATATAGTAATTGAATCTAGAATATTAGAATCGTAATACACGCGGAAGCGGGTTATGATTGATTTAGCATCTCAAGTTAATAATCCGGATTAATTTCTTGCATAATTGAAGGAATTGGGGGAGTAATAATCACATAGGGGGAAGAATAAAATCCTAGGCTTGTTTACTCTGATTAAACCTTCGTTTTTAATTGCTTTCGCGCTCTTCTCTTTTTAATTTGCTTTTTAATTTATTTTAATTTAGTTATTCTCTCTAAAGTCGACTGTGTAGGGTGGGCTTGATAATAATTGGTAGAATTTAGCGTCTAGGATAAAATAATTAAATATTCCATGTGGGTTCGATATCCGGACTTTTAGTCCACTATATTACTTGTACGATACGTGCACTTGCGTGTATGTATTACAACCAACACTTAGTACCCTGGGTACGGGTAACTAGGGTTTTGCCAATATTCCTGGTGTTGAACACGGACGGAGCTTTGACATCGTACCAATCCTTCTTGGAAAATGGATCAACAGCCTTCTTCTTCCCACCCTTCTTTCCCTTGGAAATCCTCTTGTTCTTTCCGACGGCCATAGCTGCTGGTGCTTAGACGATGGAGTGGCAGTCGGTAGGGAGTGAAGAAATTAATCGTAATACATGATTATTTATTAGAAAAATAATAATGCTTATATTTGAGTGTAATTTAGCTAATTTTCCTTAGTTAATAATTAAATTAAGAAAAAAATACATGCAATTTATTCTTTCAGAGAAGTAAAGGTGGTGGAATAACCATCTCTGCTCTCTCTGCTTCAAATCAGCGCCTCTTCTTTTTTCTTTTCTTTATTATTAAGCCATGTTTCCTTCAAATTAGCGCCTCGTACGCTAATTTGACCTTCGCCTCTCGCAACAAGCTAAGTCAGTCTCACTCGAAAGTGCACAAGAGTGGGTGAAAGTGTTTGTGAAAAAACACGTGTTTGGAGAATGTTAAGAAATTCTCTCAACCTTTAGACACTTTGATTAATGAATTATTGGATGATTACAAATGAATGATTCTACCCCTATTTATATTACTCCACATCCTCAATAGGTGGTGGTGATCATCTAGTTATAAATGCTACGATTAAGTCCTACGATCTCCTACCAAATATATACAATGAAGATACTCTAAGGATCTCTACATTAATGGGAGGATTCTAAAAGATCTTCTAGAATCATCTTGGGCTTGTTTGAGCTCCTTTGGTCTTGGGCGCGCTTGATGGATAGATGGCAAACCCTTGGTTCCAAGGTAAAATAGGCAGCCTTTGACAAAATGGTGACATGATGCTTTTAGAAGAAGAGCACGGTAGATTGCTTTTTATGCTTCCATTTATTAAAGGATGTGGTATTTGATGTTTCGGACGAACTTTTTTATTGCTCGAATAAGCGCATTGTTTTTCTACATATTTTATTTATTTATTTTTAAATACTTATAATTTTATTAAAAAATATTAGATAGATTACATTGCCCGCCTTTAGTATATTTAATTGAAAAAATATTTGAAAAGTAATGTTAGAGGATAAAATTTTGATTGAAAATCCAATTTACAAAGATCATTAGGTAATTTTTCTAGAGATTTTTGTGCATAAGTCTCTGACCAACCATCTTTATTAGTCGAGGTTGATGGGCTATATCTCTTTCGCCAATAAGTTCATCCCTTTAATATTTGTTATAAATAAGGGAAAATTGGCTAGACATCCCTTATTTTAGACTTATATAGGTAGAGATCCAAGTAAATAGATGAATATAGGTGTAAGTCCCTTAATCAATAAAATTAATATGAATTAAATTAAATTATTATATATAAACATAACTACACTTAATTAATATTTATATGAAAACACTATGTCATTATTCTCTCTCCTTTTCTCAGGTCTCTCTCCTCTGTCATCTCTCCTCTCTCACAGCTCTTTCTCTCTCCCTTGTCTCACGCATTTCTCTCTCTCACACCCTGACCCCCTCTCTCTCTCTCTCTATCTCTCTCTCAATGTTTTTTTTTTTAATTTGTAATGTACTTCACTATATTTGCATTTTTTAAATTGATTTGATTCAACGAACAACAAACATCAAACATCAAACATTTAACGACAAAAGGAATTTAAAAACGCATATTTAACTTCAGAAAATTGTTGTAATATAGTATTTACTTGTTATATATTTTTTGTATAATTTCACTACACACATTTATTTGCACATTTTGTTGATAATATTTGAAGGGTCAATTTACTATAGGTCCCTCTATATTTTAATTTATGTATATGGATCCAAGTCAAAATTTCCATTTTTAATAAATTAATAATATTTATTATGACAAAAATACCCATAGTCAAATTAAACCAAATCCCCCAAAAACATCTCTATCAAAACAAATTACTAAACATCTCTCTTCCAAAATATTAACAAAAAAATTAAATTAATTCGTTAAAAAATACTATTTATTGTACAAACTCATACTCTAAAAATGCCACCGCCACCGCGCCACCGCCTATGACTTCGTGAACAGCAAAAGCAAACTGACGCCTATGACTGGAAATAACTGAAAATTAGAATTTGTATGATTGAATTGCAAACAACAAAATACCTATGATTTCATCAAATGCAAATAGCAAACTAAAAAATAATCCATAAATTACATAATTGAGTTGCAAAAAAAAAAAACTACATATGACGTCGCCAAATGCAAACAACAAACTGAAGAAAAAATTCACATCGAGAAAACCATATATAACATGAAATTGCAAAATGCAAAATGAAAACAACTAAAGAAAAAAAATATATAACAAGTAAATACCATATTACAACAATTTTGTAACATTGAATGTGTTTTTAAATTATTTTTTGTTGTTTGACGTTTATTGTTTGTTGAACTAAATCAATTAGAAAAATGCACAAAAAAATTATAAAGTACAATAAAAAATAAAAAAAAAAAGAAAGAGTGTGGGAGAGAGAGAACCAAATTAATTAGTTATATGCAGAAATAAATTATGAAGTACAATAAAAAATTAAAAAAAACGAAAGAGTATGGGAGAGAGATATACATGTGTGCGTGTGTGTTTGTGTGTGTGTGTGTGTGTGTGAGACAGTGTGAGTGAGAGAGAGATATGTGAGATTTGATACATAATTTTTCAAAATAGTTTTTTCATATAAATATTAATTAAGGGTATTTATGTGTATATAATAATATTTAAACTTAATTAATATTAATTTTATTGGTCAAAGGACACCTATATTCATCTTATGATTTGGATCAACATCTATATTCAGTTATTTTATATAAAATGCTTTTTACGATTTGAAAATTGCTATATACGGTTCATAATAAAAAATATTTTATCTCTCTAAAACCCCAAAATCCCCCAAAACAACCCCAAAACCCCCCAAACTGCAAATAGCAAAAAAAATTAAAAAATTTCGAAAATTCGAAATCAAGCTTGAAGAAGGGTTGTGCTTCGATTTTATTGTTGGGGATCGTGCATGTATACGCAGCGGAATTCAAAAATTTTAGATCGAACTAATTTCGATTACATGCATAAACTAATCACATAGTCAACGTACCTTAACGCTTCCGCCATACATATGGTAATTATCGATTTAATTGAAAAATACATAAAACCGAAAATTACGAAACATGCTTATACATCATTCAATGAAATCGAAACACGTAATCGCATATCACTCATAATCATAAATTTCAATTCATACAAACATGTTCGAATTAATCTACGACAGTTTCGATTTGTTTACCTCTTGTAGCGTGAGATTTCAACGAATCGAAATTAAGAACCAATCACGTACAAGCTGCGATTACCAATCCTCGGGGCTGCAGGAACACCACCGAACGGCAGCTGGTCCGTAGGTGGAGCGACGGCGGCGCGTGCGTGACAACGGCCGCGACGCGTGGGCGGTGCAGCGGCGCGTGCGGCGGTGTGGCAATTCCGTCGGGGCAGCAGCTCCTCTCCAATTAGGTTTCACCTCGAATAAACGGATCTCCCCCTACTGTAGCACTAGATACAAAGGGGTTAGATAACAAGGGAATACGATAGAGAAAGGAGAGGGAAAAACCGGCGGATTCCGGCGGCGGACGGCGGTGGTGCGGCGGTGCAGCAACGGCCGAGAGGGAGGACGGCTAGGGCTTGAGTGGCTAGGGTTTGTTGTGTAAAAATCTGATCTCAAACTCTTGTTTGAGGTCTATTTATACCTAGGGTTTTCAACCCTAGCGGGCTTAAGTCATTGGGCTTGACCCACTAATGCATTAAGCCCATTCCCTCGTCGGCCTCGTTTCTAATAAACGATCGTCCACAAAATTATAACAAAATTATATTTTTGTGACGAGCTCAAAGTCCTCGTCGATACGAGTGCCTCTTCGAAATTTCCAATTTCCAAAATTGGAAACTTCCACTTTAGTGGACTTGCTAAATCGGGAAACTTCCCAATTTAGAAAGTTCACTAAATTCCGCATTTCTCTTTCTCCACGTTTATTCCAATTCGCAATTCACAATTACGAATCTTGGATTCAATCATATTGACATCCAACCGTTCAAAGATTAACACATTAATCTATGCTCATTGTTATCAAGGATCCATGTTACACGAGAAGTGTGACCCTCAATGGTTCAGGTGTATGCTAGCCGTGGGCTCACAACTCTTTGTGATTCGAACAACACATTGTTCTTATACGAACTCCTCCCAAGAGTCCCGATTAGAGTAAAACTCATTTTACCTAATCCCGATCAAATCGGTGCCCAACGAATCAAGATTGGCGTCTAGCAACTACGCATCATGATTCCCTAGATACAAATGAAGTGCCTGCAAGAACCTTATGATATAGTTAGCGTACAGTACGATCCCTTCGTAGCACATGTCCCGATTGAACTAGAGGCATTGGTTCACCGAGACCTCTTATAAAGTTCAATAACCGTGCGAACGTTCTAGGTATTATAAATCCGTTCGTGTGCGACTTAGGGAAACACATTTCCCTAATCACCCCACTATCAACTCTGGCCAGAGATTCCATGGATTATAAACCGTCAGAACACACAGGACATCCATGACTACTCAAGCGCTCGAATCCCCTACTACAATGCACAGACTTCACACTAGATTTCGGATTGCACGAACGTTGGCCCTTGGAGCGGTCCGCGGTGGGACTCAGGGACAGGTCACAATACAATCGGTCCTCTAGTGAAGTCACGGTGATGTCTGGGTCTTAAGGACTAATGGTGTACAACTATATCTTAGAAACCTATTACTCGATGAATGAGAACCACTTATAGATTTCTAGGGCGAGGGAGTTCAGTGAACTCATCCAGTATGAGCACCCACTCAAGTATGCCGATGTCACAACACCGAGGACTGATGAGACGCAGTACACATACACTAAGTGCTAGTCTCAAAAGGGAAAGGCCGGTATCCTCATTATTGGCGTAACCCATCGACTAGGAACAAGGTTTAACAGTTACATTACATTGCTGAGTTATCTCACGATTCTACTAGATCAACTCACAGTAATAGAGTAACTCGTTAGGACTATATCTATGCTGCTTGCATGGGATAACAGATATAGAATGCCAAATAAGATA